GGAAAATTTGCTGATTGTTGTTTTGCAAAGGGTTGGGGGACAGGATAGAAACAGGGATATCAGTTAAGAGGGTGGCAGCGTAGTGACTCAGGGTGTGGTTAGAAGGAGTTAAGTGCTCCAATTCAAGGATAATCCTGAAGTTGCTAGTTGGATCCATTTCTGGCAAGACTTTGGCTGAGCTGAAAGCAGACACCTCCGTTCTGTAGCATTGTCTCTTTTTTCCTTTCATGTTTATTTTCATTCCCTTATAAAGTCCATCTCAGAAGTCTAATCTTGTTTCAGTAAAACTGTAGGGAAACAAGATTTTTCCATACCAAGGAAAAATACCTTGTGGTGCAATAGTCATGCATTGAGCTATGATCTACATGGTCCACAGTTCAAAACCACCAACAACTCCAAGGGAGAAAGACTGGGCTTTCTAATACCCTAAGCAATTAGTCTCAGAAACCCACAGGGAGTCGACAGGGAGTCAGCATTGGCTCCATGGCAGTTAAGCGTTTGTTTATCTGAGCTGGGACCAGGCTTCCGCCTATGCCTCCTGGGCTCTGTTAGTGGGTCAATTTTATATCAGTGGGACATGTCAGGCCAGCTAGGTGGGAAGAGCAGCTTGGCGATACAGTTATGCACGGAAAGACAGAGAAGTCAACAAATTCTATTGTCTATTTCAAAGAAGAATGGTTCAATTCCCTGGGCAATGCCCCTAAGTTATAGATACCTCTAGCCTTTACATCTCTGGATTTCACAGTTTTAGGCCCCACCAAGAGGTGTTTAGGATGAGAGTCTGTGCCAGAAGGAGGGATCCCAGAGTCCATAGTGAACAACCACTGGGTAGGAAGTGGGGGGAGGATGTGCAGTTGTCTGAAGATGCAATGGGCTGGAAGTCAGAAGACTTGGGAAATCCAGTGCCACAGAACACTCTGTGTGACAGGGTACTCACTTCCCCTTTCTAGGCCTCAGTTTTCCCATCCATCCAGCAAGGGGGCTGGACTAGAAAGCCTCTAAATGCCCAGTTTGAAAGATTCCATTCTCTTCTCTGAATCTGCCCAGGGGGAGGCCTTGGGGGCTGGGGCACCAGCAGGGGCTGAGAATTCCATAGCAATTTGCATGTGAAAGCATGTTACTGCCATGGCTATTAGTGTGTGCAGGGGGACTGAAGGCAGCAAGGATAACTAACTGTCAGACTGGCCAAAAATTACCAGGCTGCCTGGGCTGGGGAAGTGGGGAGGATAACCCTGAAGGTGTGCAAAGGGATGATGACCTGACACATCTCAGAAGGGAGATGCCTAAATCTGGGTTTGGGCCATGAACTAGTATAGTAGATCTGGCCCCTACAGATGTTTTCCAGAGTATGCGCCTCTGAGAGAAATCAGAATACACCAGTAGGGTACAACAGAAAGGTCCCCAAGAAGGGGCACAAACAGTAAATTTTTGAGGGTTGCCTACCACCAGCACTAAACTTCTCAGGATCACACTTTTCACAGAGTTATAAACTATTGTTCTGATAACTGTCTTGTGTAAACTTATACAGATGGTCAATATGAAAAAAATCCAAAAACTAAACTCATTGTCATTGAGTCGATTCCAACTCATAATGAGCCTATAGGACAAAATAGAACTGCCCTTTTGGTTTCTGAGACTGTAACTCTTTAAGGAGGAGAAAGCCTCATCTTTCTCCAACACAGCAGCTGGTGGTTTCAAACTGCTAAGCACAAGGTTAGCATCCCAATGTGCAACCCACTATGCCAGCAGGGCTTCTGTGTTAATATGAATATTGCATATATAGAGATTTGTTTGGTTCACTCACACACACATATTCCAGGGGGGATCTGGGAGAACAAAGCAAATAGTACAACAAAGGAAATTCTCTGACCTGTAAAGAAAACAGGATTTTAGATTTGACTCTGCTGTCTCACTCCGTGTGCTGTGGCAAGTCCTATCTAGTCTCTAGGCCTCAATTTCCCCAGAAGGCTCTAAAGGAGCTCTACCAATCCTGGGCTTCTAATTTCTACCTGAACAGTCAGACCCATTGACAGCATGGTCAGCATACGGCTCTGCCCAGTAGAATCTATCTAGTGTGAAGTGTCCTGGGCAGGGATGTTCAAGATCTCACTTGATTTCTACAAATGACCCACATGGAGGCTCTCTATTGGGACCAGCCCTGAGACAGAGGGGAGTTCTCCTACAGAAGCTGTGTTGTAAGAGGATGACCCAAGGTGCCATAGAGATTTAGAAGGGCTCTTTTAGTATGGGCAGCTTCTGCCTACAGGCTTTTGTCCCACAACTGGCCCAAGTACCTGGGATGAGAAGAGAGCCCAATGACAAGTTCTTATGATGATATTTATGAACTTTGCAAAAGGCCAGCTTTGGTCAATGACTCGGGGAGGGGAGAGGGACAATCATAACTTGGGACCCACTTCCAAGCAGAAAAAGCTCCCAGGGAGTTCAGCCCCAGACCCAAACAACCCTCTGCACAGCTCACTGAAGTTAATAGCAATCATTTATTAGTGCCTACTACGTATTCACAGGGTTGCTGGATGTTGGGTAAATGAGTGGATGGATAGATGTATGTATGGGCGAGTGAGTATAGACCTATGTATGTATGAAAGATTAACTCCAGAACCCAAGTTTAATCTGGGTAGCGTCCATCCAGTCTCTTACACCCTCCCATGACTCAACCATCGTATACTCAGTCAAGAGCTAACCTAGTGCTTAAGATTCTTCTAGAAAGTACCCTTCTAGGTGAGCTCCCTTGGAAGCAGGGACCTGTTTGTCCTACTTGTCACTGTACCCCAGTGCCCAGACCATTGACTAGCACATAGCATATTCTCAACAGTTTCTAAATAAAATAATAAATCTAGTCCTATATTTTCATTGCTATATATATAGGGAAACTGAAATCCAAAGAGGCCGCCTTGGGATAGTTGGGACATGCTTTCAGCTCACCCACCTCTCAGAACATGGCTCTCCCCTATACAAAGGGCCCTGTCACAAACTTCTCCCACCCTCCCATATCCCTTTGCACATTCCTTAATCCCCTCACCCCCAGCTTTCCTGCTTTTCCCTTTGCCAGCACGATAATGAACCACTGAAAATAGTACCTACAATTACTGTCTCCCCTGTGTCCTTAAATTGCTCTTAGTTAGGGCTCCACGACCCCTGTCCTGGGTAGGGACTGGGTTCCCCCTGAGCAGGCTTCCAAAATAGTCAACCTAATAACCGTCAGAGGCCCTAGACTCCCAGATCTGATGGCCAGCTGTGCAGCAGCCTATACCAAATGGGTAGAGAGGGTTCCCAGATGGCCAGGGGGCTGCCTTAGATGGAGTGTCAGTGGAACTATGAAGTGTCCAGGCAGGATTTGGGGCAGGCAGGTTTTAGGGACAGATTTCTGAGAGTTATTAACAACAGGTGGTGAAAGGAATACATGCTCAGCAGGGCCCAACCTAAGATGGGTCTCTCCCTCAGATCTGCAGCCCACCCTCGAGCCCCCACCTAGAGCATGCCAGACCATCCATGTCCCTGGTGTTTCAGGGATAATTGACCAGTACAATAAGGTCACAAGAGCTCTGCCCTTGAAGCTCCACAAGGCTGTTCTTCAGGGAAATGAGGCATGGAGAATACCTGCTCAGTTTGGCATCTTTGGAGAACTTGGCTTAGCCTATGGAAGATGCCATGTTACCCCACCCTCACCTGGTAAGCATCCTCTATTCCTGACTCAACAGGATCTTGGGCCCAATTAGGACAAGGAGAGCAGTGAATGGGACATGACTAGGCCCCACCCTATCCACTAGAGGCTCTCCCCTCCTGCTTCTGGCTAAGCTTGGTCTTCACTCTGCTCCCCTCTTCCTTCCCATCACTCTAACCCAGAATGATGAGAAAGAAGGGGGGAGGAGGACTCTGGTTCAAAGTTCTCAGGGAAGTATGCTTGTTCAGTCTCACCCTAGACAGAAGGGATAGGGGAGGAGGAAAGAATGGGAGTCATACTCAAGGAGCTTCTCATATTTTCCCATTGTGTAATAAAAGGCCTGGGCTGGAATTCTAGTGTTCCCACTCATTTGGTGTGTGTTTGGGGCAAGTTACTGCTCCCCCCATAGGATCTGTTTCATCTCAAATATGAGGCAAAATTTCCATACCTACCAGTCTCACAAAGCAGTTTATGAGGCTCAATGAGATAATGTATATAAATGTTTGAAAAGCCTGGCAGGTACTGTCCAAGTGGAGGATACTATGCCACAGGGATTTACCACTGTATGATCAACCCAGTGTGAGCACTGAGATCAAACAAGTTCCAGCCATGATGCTCATGCCAAGGCAAGTACAAACAATCAGAGGCCTGCTGCGCTGTCAGCAAGACTGCTCTGTACTTTCCTTTTCTTACTTGTCTCTCCTACAGATTTTACTTAATACTCCCACAGCTACTTTCAGGGGGTCCCTAGAAACTCAATCCTTCATTGGTAGGGTGAGGGCAGCAGGTATTGTGCACAGAGTAGGTGATCTCCCAAGGACACTCCCAAGGACTTACTCCTCCATCTTAATTACAGACCCCAATTTGATCAGAACCAGCCCTGGCTAGAGATCCCTGCCCTAGGCCAGACCCCACTCTGGGCAAACGGCAGAGGTCTTATTTGATCCAGGTACTTACTTTGGTTAACAACAAACCTATTAATAGCCTCTGCCCCAGATGGCTCCAGAAGCACAAGAAACTGGAGAAATTTGGAAGGGTGGAGGGTAGCAGGAGTTGCACATATCTAGTTCATTAAGACAGATATTCTCTTGATACAGCCAACCCAGATCAGCAGTGGTTTGGACACAGGAAAACCACACACACACACACACACACACACACACACACAGGAAAACCACACACACTCTCTCTCTCTCTCTCATTCACTCATTCACATTCCATTCTCAAACATCATGACACCAGTTTACACCCATTTCTCCATGTGGTTAATTTTTTTTAGTTCTCATTTTTTTCTAAGAAAAAAGCAACAAGAAAATAATTCAGTTTATACAAAACATCTTTACATTATTTTTTTCCAAAAAAGCTAGTATTTACACAAATGGTAACACACAAAAACAAAAACCGTTCTGTCACCTGGAAGTGGGGTGGTTTTTCTCTTCTCTCTCCCAAGTGGCACTGGGATGGGCAGCTGGCCAAGAGGCCTTGTGGAGATGGATGGTACAAGGACCAAGCTTCTTGCACACTGCTCTGGGAGCACCTGAAGGGTGCATTCAAGTGTCTATGCTGGCAAGGAGCTGGGTCAAAGTGTATAACAGGCTGGCTCAGCCCCTGGTAGTCTCTTCCTCTTCCCAGGCCCCAGCCTCCAAATGGGGAGGGGAACAACAGGAGCTAGGTGGATAGTGGGTACCCACCAGTGCTAGAGTCCAGAAAAGAATCATGTCACTTGGCTTTATACCTATTTTAGTCTCCACATGCACATCTATTTCCCCACCAGGCTAAAGGATGCCAAAGATAAGGAGAGAAAATGGGGGAGGGCTCCCCCAGCGTTATGTCCTCCACCACCCATGAGGTCATCTGCCTGCAGCAGCTCTCCAGTTCCCCAGGCAACAGCCAATTAAGACATTAATTACTGTGAGAGTGAGGGAGGCAGGAGATGCCCAAGAATCCCATAAGGATTTTATTTATTATGGAAGGGTGGCAGCTACTACCCCACTGCCAGGATTAGCTTTGTAGAGGAAGGGTCAGGAGGGAAGAGTGGGACACCTTTCCCAATAATATTCGTCTCTGCCCTCATGGGCAAGAGCAGGCCTGTCCTATCCCCACCTCAGACAGAGAAATGCTGAGGAGTCTATAAAATAAACAACATTCTATGCTTCTTGGCTGGCCATATCCTGCACAGTCCCAACCCCAGGCCCTCTTATAACAGGCTGGACCAGGCTGAGAAAGCCTGGGGATGGGTAATTTTCTACATCTTTCATTTTTCTTAAAAAAAAAAAAACCCACAAAAACAAAAAGCAGATGAAAAGAAATTGACAGCTAAAAAATGAACACAAAATCATTAAAAGCAGTGATGATAGTAGACAAGCAGTCCTAGGAAGGTGGAACAGGGACAGAGTTGGAGACACGGCCATGGGGGCATCTCTCTGTCTACTGTCCATCAGCATCCAACCCTACTCACCAAGAAAGGGTACCCCCATAGAACCCAGGGGCCTGGCCAGAGGGAGAAGGCACAAGAGCAAGGGGCTTGGGGTATAAGCACGCCCCTCCAACGCCCAAGGAGCAGGAAAAAGGGGGGGATTATAAAAGCCAAGGAACTACAAAACTAAATACAAAGGTGGGCACAGCTGGCAAGGGCTGGGATTATGGGGCCAAAGGGAGAGGTATGGTCCAGGTCATCTGTCCTCCAGGGCCTGAGGCCGCACCGGGCACTCAGACTTTGTAGTAGATGTTCGCCGGGCTCTGAGGTGGCATCTCCTGGACAATGTAGACTGGATGCCCATAGTCCCCACTCACCTTCTCATAGTGGGGGCAGTAATTGTTTTCTGTAGTCCGTAAGGGGATGATGATGTCGCTGGGCTCAGTGCCCGCTGTGCCACTGCCCCCCTTGGGACTGGCCAGCGTACCGAGTGAAAGGGAAGCTGCCCGCTGCTGCGTGTGCTTTCGGTGCCGCTTGCGCAGCTTTAGTAGCAGAATCGTCAGGAAAATGATAATGAGCAAGAAGATGACGCAACCAGCACCAACAGCCGCAAACAATGCCACCTTGGAGTTGAAGAAGCTGTCAGGGTCTCCATTGCCACTGCCACCGCTGCTTGCACCTGGGCCACTCTTCTCTTCCTGGTTCACAGTATCTGAGGAAAGAGAAAAGACAAAGAGGAATTGACAGCCAATGGTCCACTGGAGACATGTGAGATCTCGGGCAGGCCTTTAGACAGCCTTTCTCCGTGGAGACTAAGCAATGGCGTCTGCCCTCTGCGACACACCTATACACTCACCATGCTTGCCATCAGAGTCTCCAAGGGGACCTCGACCACGAGGAGCCTGTGTGGCCATCATGACAGTATTATGTGCCTCTTTGCCAGGCCGGTTGGTCGTTAGTTGTACAGGTGTCACAGCATTAGGATCTGGAGGTGAGGAGAGGACAGTCAGAAGGATGGACTCTGCCAGTACAGATGCTCTGTCAACTGGACCTCAAATTCTCTAACCCCACTGTCCCTTCCTCACTCTTAGCATACCCACACTTATCCAGAAAAACCAGCTCTAAAGGCCTAACCCGGGTCCCTTAGACCGGGCACTCACCTTGTCCAACTTTCATGACAATCTTCATGGTTCGTGTTCGGCACACACCTCCCTCCCGGTTCTCCAGTCCCTCTAGGCTTCCATTGGATGTGGCTGCATGAAGAGGCCAAAAAGGTCAAGGGGGTGGGTGGGAGGGAGGATGGTCTGCCAGAATTCCCAGAAACCTTAGTGCTGCTTCAGCCAATAAACAATAGGGCTAGAACTGGGAGTGGTGGAGTGCCAAGCAGCTTCTACCTACCTACAAACCGTTCTATTTACTTTCCTCCCACTAGAAACAGTAGCATTAACACCCAACCCAGCCCAGCCCAGGAACTAGCTCCTCCTCCCAGAGACTCTGTTCCTATATGATGACCAAGTCTTGGCTGCTTTTTCACAGTGGCAACAGTAAGATGTGGTTTTTCATTAGGTGATGTTGCTCAGAGGCAAAGCAATTAGAACTGGCATAACAAGGGAGGTGTCTATGTAGACTGGAAGGAATTCTGGATTAGGGGCCAAGAGATCTGGGTTAGAATCCTAATCCTTTCCCTAAATCCCTCTGTGAGCTAGGGCGGGCGAGAAGCCCCTTCACCTTTTGGGGGCCTCCCTCGGTTTCTCATGAGGAAAAAGGTGAACATCTGGCTGAGCTCAAGGTATAGAGAACTCTGCAATTCCTAAGCTTTTATCTTAGGTGGGTAAAACAAATGGGAGAGAAAGCAACAAATATTGGGAGTTTCCTTCCACCCAGCTCTTGGAGTGCTATGGTAAACTGATAATGGGACCTTTAGGGAATATTGGTGCTAAGATTCCAAGGCCAGACTGGGAACAAAGCATGCCAGTGTTCCAAACTGAGATCTGGCAGGACCTTACCTGTTTGCATTATCACTATACTACTTAAAAGCTCCTAGTACAATAATGATAGAAGAGAGAAACACATGGTAGCAAGGGACTCACAGGTAATATAGTAATCATGGTGCTTCTTGAACTCCAGGCCCATGTAGTTGGGGCTGAACTCCTGGAACTTAATGGTGAAACGGATTTCCTGCTCTGGTCTGTTGCAGGTGACCAGCACATTGGGGTCGAGCACAGTGCTGCAGGCAGCTGCCTGTTCAGGCCGCACCAGGTACAGTTTATAGTACTCGTAGGGCCGCCCTGCTTCTGCTCGGGGGCAGATGATGTCCAATTTGTCTCCAATCTTTGGGTAGATCACCAAGCCCTTCCCACTCAGGAACCTGCCCAGAAAGGAAGAGATAGTCAGCTCCAGGTTTGGTGGTCCAGGCCATCCCAGAAGCAGGAGAGCAGTCAACGAAGATCAGGTCTACGGGGTGGAGGTAGCAATAGTAGGCAGTCTGCCCTTCCTCCAACCTAAGGCTGGGTGTGGAAGGAGTGGCCTATGGATAAGGCTGCCAGGTTTTGTCTGCTTGACAGGATGAGGCACTGCCTACCTGGGAGAGCCCTTTGTCCTAATGTGGCATTTCCGCAGGGGGTTGACTTGGCAAATGGGCTGTGGATCAAAGTGTCAGGCCCGGGCTGCCTGAAGGTGGCAGTATACCTTGTTCATCCTCCTGCTACATACTCACATTCCTCCACAGCCACTACCTCCACCACACACACACACACACACACACACACATTCCCACAGAGCAAGCACATTCTCTGGCCAGGTACAGCTCCACACAGCTCTCCCTACTTCCTCTTTGCAGTGTCCTTACAGTGACCAACCCCCACCCTAGCCCACAATGCAAAGGCCTGAATCCCCAAATTTGAAAAGGTTTACTCCAAAGAACAGAGGGAAGAGAGAAAGGGTCCAACTATGGATAACAGAACATGTAAAATAGAATCTCGGGAACCCCACTCATCACGATTCCAATCTTCTCACTGCCACTGTTCCTACCACAGGTCTTGAGGTGAACTGGACAAATGCCATTTGGGCTAGGTTCATCTTCTAATCCAAAAGCCCAGGTACTGGAGGGAGAGCAGGGGAGGGTCACCTATTCATATTACCCTGTCCTTGTCTAAGCCCACAGTAAGAAAGGTAATCCAGTGGTCATTTTTGAGCCTGGGAAGGCTGAAGCTGAGAGAAGAATCTAGACTTTAAGATCAGACATATTTGGTCTTTACCACCTTTGCTACCTTGGATGAGCTGTTTGATCTCTCTGAGCTTCAGTTAACTCATTTGTGAGCTGAGGATGGTAAAGGCCCCTCCCTCTCAAGGGGGTAGATGAGATAGCACACATATAGCACATCGCACATATAGGCACTCAATATATTTGAATTCTCCATAGGAATAGTCTGTCAAGTAGCAGAAGGCCAGATACTAACATTAAGTACTGAGGATCTCAGTCTTGTATCTTCGAGGAAAAAAATCAGAAGAGAAGATGCAAATTCATCCTCAAGGAGTTTCCTCACTGGTTTGCGTCAGAAAAGAAAATGTTCCACACTCTAGCAAGAGGTAATACAAAGTTCTCTATAAGTATGTGTGAGGATGGTAGTTCAAACAGTAAGCACTGGAGGCACCAAAAATAAAGAGACAGCTCATCTGACCAGGATGGTCGGAGATAGTTCCACAGAAACGACAGGATAAAGTGGCTCCTAAGCAAGGAATAAGAAGTCAACACACATTAAGAGTGGACAGCACTGTCTAGGACACAAACCCCAGGCTAGTGATTTGTCCAGCTTGTCTAGGGGTAGGTTTAGAGGAGCAAAGGACAAGGTGGAAAAGATCAGCTAGGACCAGATTGAAAGACCTCAAAGGTCACAATAAGTGGTGTGTTATAATATTCTGTTAAAGAGCCCTGGTGGCCCATTTTTGGTGGTAAACATTCAACCAAGAAGGAAAATGAAGCACTGGTGGTAATGAACACCAATTTAGAGGGCCCTGCAATAATCTGGGAATAGAATGAATCTTGTTCCTGAGGTTCCACTACACAATGAGTACTCTATACAAGGAGAACCCACTGTGAGTGGTGGGCCAATGCCTCTGCATTGCCATACTGCAGAGTGCTCATTCTAGGGAGGTAAACGATTCCCAGGTAGGAGTGTAAGAAAATTAGACCAAGAAAATGAAGTAGACAAAGAAAAGCAGCTCCACTCTTCATGTCAGGTGAAGCTCCACCAAGCTGGGACCTACCCAGGATTATCTTGGTGTACAGTAAAAATGAGAAAATCTTCCCCTTCCAGTAGCGAACTTTACTCCACTATGGACAGTCAGACAGGAAGCAGGTACAGAATGAAGGTCCGCTTAAACTTTTGACAGGGAACATGCATCATAAAAGCCAACAAGTTTCACCCAGGCCTCTAATTCTCAAAGCATTTTTCACTTTCCAGGCCTCAAACTGGTTCCATCCAGAAAGCAGGATTAAGTAAAGTCTAATATTTAGAGCAAGAAGGAACGATAGAGACTCATTGAGTTCAGGCTCCTCGTGGGAGGAAATGAATGATCAGAGAATGTTCCCATTGAAAAGAGATGCTCAACACCAACTCTAGGGGCTTAAAAAGTCTAATAGGCTGAATCCTGACACATTTGCAGCTAAAGGTCCCATCTGAAGTGACAACAAATACACAGAAAACATGGAACGGGGTACAAATCAGCTTTGCATTTCTGGTATCCACTTGACCTTGACTTAATCACAAGGGAGAGTCTTACCTGTGCTGAGCTCAGTCTCCCACCACCACATATGCCCTGGAACTTCTAGTTACCTCAGGTTCTACCATTAACCCAGAGAAATAGAAGAAACAGATGTCGCTATAATAGGTGGGGGAAGGGAAATAAGAGAGGACTACTCCCCCTAATACCCCTCAGACTCCACTCTCTTCAACCTCAGTGAACAGTGACTTCATAAATATTCATCAGCTCATTTGCATAGCAGCTGGCAGAAGGAAACTCACCTTCCCCTAAATCACATCACCCATGCAGAAGTCTGATGAGACCCACCTTTCCTAACCCTGTTCTACCATAATGGGGCCTTCTTAGCATCTTGCCCCAACCCTGGGAAAACTTCATGTTGGCCTCTGAGAAGCCTACGAAATTGGAGAGGGGTTATGAGAGGTGGGATTGAAGGCAGTGAGAGTGGAGCCTGAAGCTAAGTGCAATGCTAATCATACTGTACAGGGAGAACGTACTTGGTCAGGACCTCCTCCCTGGGGGACGGACAACAGAAAAGTGCATAAAGGGAGACATCGGACAGTATAAGATATGACAAAATAATAATTTATAAATTATCATGGGTTCATGAGAGAGGGGAGAGCGGGGCGGGAGTGGGAAAAATGAGGAGCTGATGCCAGGGGCTTAAGTGGAGAGGAAATGTTTTGAGAATGATGAGGGCAACAAATGTACAAATGTGCTTTACGCAATTGATGTATGTATGGATTGTGATAAGAGTTGTATGAGCCCCTAATAAGACGGTTAAAAAAAAAAAAAAGAACGGAGGAAGAGATTTGTCCGTAAGTTAAACCCTTTAGCCTCCACCTTTCAAAAATTACTCTTCCCATTTATTAAGGCAAGTTTTTCAGCCTGGGGCCACCCCCAGACAAAATCTTTTTCTGGAAAATAAAGGGATTGACATGACCCAGCAGGGAGCCTGAAACAGGTCACCATGGTAACCCCTGAGGCCTTTCCTCCCTAGCCTCTAATAACCCTGGGACCCTAGGGAATAAAATGACTAGGGGTGGGGAAGTCTGAGCTGCTCTTGCTCCTATCTTGTGACCTGCCTCTTCTCCGGCACCCTAATTTAATTCCCTTCTAAGCCTTTCTATTGAGTTTAGCAGTACTGCCATGGCTGTTGCAAGTTATCTTGGGATATGAGAAGCAATCCCCAAGGTCCAGAACTGGTTGGAGGCCAAGCAACACCTGTCTCCCCTGCCACTCACCCCAGTCCCCAAGGGTTCCTCTAGCCAGCTAATGGAGTCCTTTTCCACCAATATACATATTATCTACACAACAAGAACTTACAGCTACCGGACACAAGCCCAGAAAGCTGCCTACGTTCTCTAGGTCTGTATTTCCTGCCCTCCTACCCTTCCCTCAGGCTCTAGAACCATGCAGTCAAAGAGCAGTCAAAAGAGGAGCCTTGTACAAGGCCATGGAAGTGCAAGTTTGGTATAAGACTCTAGCCATTACCATAATTTGGTGACCCCACCACACTGCACCTCGAGCCCAAGCCAGAGCTCAAGTCTGCTCTCATCCCAGCTAGGGTGGGGAGCCCCCAAATTAAAGGCTCCTCTTCACTCTACCAACTCCACCCAGCCCCTGAGGCAGCAGGAGCAGGCCTGGCATGTCCCAGCAGTGCCCGCCCGGGCGTGGGTGGGCAGGAGCAGCAGCTGGGTCCTGGCACACACAAGCACTGTTGGAGGCAGGGAAGCCAGAAGAGTCCCAAAGGAAGTCACCTTCCCCACCTACACTAGACTGGTCTATGCTCTCTCCTCTGCCACACCTGACCAAAGCTACTATCCACTCAGGCTGTGTTAACACCTCCCTCCTCATTGTCTAGTTTTTGTGGCATCCTTGAGTGGAAGTGAGATTCCTGTCCCAGAGAGAAACCAAAGTTGCTCCTTGGAGCTCAGGAAGGAGAGTACCAGACAACAAGTTGTCTGCCTTTAGCTCAGGACAAAAGAGGAGGCTGCCCTAGGAGATAGGCAGACCAAAGTCAAATGAGGAAGTCAGAGCATAACCCAATCCACATAGGCAGGACCTGAGTCACAAGGACATATGTACATACACCTATAAAGTGAGAGGGGAACCCAGGGGCAGGGATCCTAACCCCTACCTTTAATGTTCACGGCAGCAAGATGGCCTGGATAGAAGATCATGTACTACAGCTCTTCCCTTACCAGCTCCCTGAACTTAAGACAAGTCACTTCCCTTTTCTGGGCATAGGCCTCCTTATCTGGAAAATGGGGCAATACCTATTTCCCATGGCTATTGCAAGCATCCAATGAGATCATATATGAGAATGCTTTGTAAGTAACAAGGTGCTGCCTGGCTTAGCATGCCAAACACAGTACCATTTAGAAGAAGCTGCAAGATATTATACTCCTGACTGTTAGCACTACCACCACACAAAACTACCACCAGTAAAACACACCCAGGAGACCCCAGGACACAAGATACCAAAATGTGGCAGAAGAGCATCACCTTACCTTACCTTAGGTCCCCTAAATAATCACAAAGTGAACCCATCCCCAAACCTGGCTGGGCCATACTCCCCATACTCTGAGCCTTTGAAGAATAATGTAGTGTCCAGGGCCTGCCTATTCCCATCTACCTGAGCTGGTGAAAAAGTAGGAGAGTGCAGAGGAGAGAAAGAGGACCCTATACTCAGCCCCCAACCCAGTGTCCCATGCCCTCCTGCAGAAAAGCCTGGGGTGAGAGTGGGGAGGGAAGAGAAAAGGGAACTTTAGGAGCTGCTAGGTTCCCATCCCTCTAGGCCTCCACCTGTGACCAATCAGCCTTAAAGTAGAAGAGGTCAGATTCCTTGCCATTCTGGAACCCAGAGTTGTCCTCCCCAGGACTGTAAGTTGTAACATCTGTGAGGGAGCTGGGGCCAGCATACTTGCATCTAGCAGGCAAGCATGGGTTAGGATCTGCAGCTGCCCCCATCCATGCTGGAGTCAAGGGTCCTGGACTCCAAGCTGAATAGCCCACCCCCCTCCTCTTGTAGATAAGGTGTAATGTGATCTGTGGCACATTCACACTCTCTGGAGGTGGGGGAACCTGAGTGGGGGACAGAAAGGGGTCAGAACAAGAGTGAGACTGAACTGCAGCAGCTGGATTTGGCTAAGGACTCAAGTGTGCGCCCTGCCGGCTGCCCTGATCTCCCTAGGGGAAGAGGCTGGGGGAGGGAGCTGCCCTGGGACCACTTTGCACACAGCCACCCTCCAAGCCCTGCTCCGGCTTACATTCTTAAACATATACACCAACCCCCCCATTCCCACCCTGGACTCACGGAGCAAATATGACAGGAAGGGGCCTAAGAGGAAAAAGCTCTTGACACCCAAGACTACCACTCTGGAAGGCCCCAAGCATATCCTTGGGAAAGGCACTAGGAGTCTAAGAGCCTGGTACTTCCAGCCTCCTCCCATCAGGAGGGAACCTAGAAACATACACCGAGACCCACTACTTCTTTATTTTTATTTTTTCCTCCAAGAAGGAAGCAATAAAACAGGGTTTATAGATGTTGGGAGGTTTTTGGGTGGGAACAGGGGTTGCCGGCTCCTAACAGGAATGAGGAGAGATACCAAAAGCTGAAAGGAAGAGGGGAGGGCAGAAAGAAAATGAGGCTGTGAGGGAGAGCCTGGGCATGTGCGAGAAACAAAAGGACTTGAGAAAGAGAGGCAGAGAGAGTGACTAAGAGTGAGAGGGAGTGTGAGAAAGAGGGAGAGCAGGCGGCCTAGCTGGCTAGCCGAGGTGAACACAGCTCACTGAAGGTTTGAGAGGGCAAACCCACAGGGGCCTGAGAGGGAGAATAATTCAAGCAGGAGGCTAAAAAGGACAGACAAAGACTGTTTTATTTGAAAGGCTGTGGCAGCCTGAGGGTTGGGTATGGTGACAGAGGCAGCCCCCTGAATGAGAGTTGAGTTCTGTCTCCCTCCTTGTCCTCTTGCCTCCCACTAGCCATCTCTCAACTGCCCTCAAACCCCAGCCAAACATACACAATGGCTGCATTCCAGACCAGAGTATAGGTGGAACTCAGGGGAGGGGGCGATGCTGGGGGGTAGGGTACCAAAATCAGTCCCGGATTATTTCCAGGATCTGTTTGGTTATAGAATGGAATTTATGCAGGTCCTACTGAGTTCACAGCCTCCCCTGCTCCAACTCACAGGATACCTACCCCCATCTTGAGGGCAGAGGACGACAGGGGGATGAAACCTCCAAAAACCTATAAGCCAGTCCAGAACTCTAAAGGTTCAGAACATAACAGCTCTTGTTTCTCTCAGCCTCTCCCCCACCCACCCCCAATACACACATCCCCCCTCTGCAGGAGGGCTCCTTTCCAGCTGTGAAGCTGTGTGTCATCTCTGGTTAGATACTCCAGGGAACAATTAGGTCACTCCCAAGAGCACCATGATGGGCTACCCCAGGCAGATTTCAGCTCTCCTAGCTTAACAGAGTGCATTTCCAGTCTCCACCCTTGGGGGAGGATGGGGATGAAGACTGGGCACTTTACCTTTTCTCCTGGGCTGAACAGTCCTAGGCCCCCAGGCCATTTTGAACCCCAGCAGTTAGAAGAGTGCTGCACACAGCCTGGGCTTTGGGTAGGGGAGAAATTCCTGCCAATTCTTCTTACCCCACCCCCCACCCCGCTCCACACCAGAGGTGGATCCTTCCACTCTAAGCCTGCTTTAGCCAGCCCAATTACCAATACTGGGTCCCCACCTTAATGAGATGAGAACTAAAACACTACCTTCTATTTCAAGGCTCAAGGAAGCACTGCTCCTGGGACCCCTGAGGCCAAGGCAAGCAGAAGCCCAAGAAGTTATCAGGGAGCACAGAGTATACAGGAAGAGATTTCAGATACAGCAATCAGAGAGCAGAGACCGTACAAGGGCCCCCGTTTCCTGATAAAAGGGGGTGTCACACACTATCTGGGTAGGAAGAAGAGTACTTTTGACCTTGTGCTCCAAACCGAGTCCTGAATGGCAAAAGAGAAAAGGTCCAGAGGTCACAACAGCCCTAAAGAATGAAAAAAAAAAAACCAACAACAAAAAAGCCACCGCCCTAGAAGGAGATGAAGAAAAAGAAAAAAAGATCTCTATATAGCTGTACCTCAACCCCTCAGGAAAAATTCAGCACAGCTCCCCAATCTGAGGGGTGGTGGTGGTGGTGGTGGTGGGTGGTATTAGAGTCGTAATGGATTCACCTGGGCAGGAATTATACCCTCTTCACCCACCTTCTTGGCTGGCTTGACCACCTCTCCCCAGGCGGTTCCTGGAAGCTTTACCTCTGACTCCATTGGAGTCCTGAGAAGCACTGAATTGAACAGACCCTAATCCACCCCATCCCACCCCTGCAGCAACCCCTCTCCACCCTCTGCCTTTGTGATCCTGGGAGTTGTGTCCCCCTGTACTGCTGTCCTGGCTGGGAGAAAAAGAGGGATGTGTGCAAGAAGAGACGGCAAAAATAAAAAGCCATAGAGGCAAAGAGGGAAGAAAGAAAAATGAAAATGGAAGAAGCCAGAGTAGATAAAGGTGCTGTCCACTCATCCCAACCAAGCACTTGGTGCCACACTGTATTACCCACACAGCTAACTAAGCAAAGGAGAAACCTGTGTTCCCCCCTGGTCCCTGGCCCAGGTCAAGCTCTACCAGGAAGCACCTCTTGGCCAAGAGATCCCTTTCCCAAGGGCCCCAGAAGGCTGCGTTCTCGCCCCCACCCAACTCTCGGGTGTGCTCTCACACCTCCGGGCTTCCCTACTCCCCGTGGAGCAATCATTTCGACTTGTACAGAGAAAATTCCGGGAAGTTGAAGGGTCACAGCCCTTCATTTGTCATTCTCTGCCCTGCTCGCCCGCCCGCCCGCAGGAAAACACACTCCAAACAAACAAAATGGGGGGCTACTCCTCCTCCGGACATTCACTAGAGGCGCCTAGAGGCGCGCATCCCCTAAAAGAGTGCCTCCTACGCCAGGGGAGCGGAGCAGATAAGTTACTCACTTGGGGTTGAGTGAGCTCCAAGACACGGTCTCCAGGTTCTTGGCCAGTGGCGTGGCAAACCGGCACAGCGCCAACAGGACTATCGCGACAAGCCATTTACCAAGCCTAAGCCGCCCAGGCTGGGCCATCTTCCCCGGGCAGGCAGTACTTCGGCAGCCCAGGCGCCTCCTCAGAAAATCTCGTCTCGCCTTCCCTTGCGGCTCAGCGCTGGGAGTCACTTAGGCGCCCATCCTCTGCAGCCGCCAGCCATAAAGTGCTCCCCTCCTTCCAGCTTTGGCGTCGCTCTTCTCCACCCGGTCAGCCAAGAGGATTCACTGAGCAGTCGCCCCAAACCCGGGCATGGGCTGCGGCCTCCGAGGGCTAGCTCCCCTAGCCTTTTCAACACACTAGACGCGACGGGGGCCTGAGCCCCCGGGTGATCCTGTTCGATTCCGCTGAACTCCCAGAGACTGGAACTTCGCGCCCTCTCCCCGACCGGGTATCCCAGCTGATGAGTTGGTGGTGGCCCCGACGCCTCGACCGTCCCGGGAACGGTGTCCCTGAGAAGTAGAGGTCTCCCCCAAACCGGAGCTCGGCCTCTGGGCTCCCGACTGGGTCGCCCTGGCACGGGCTCAGTTCCTCCAGGCCACACTGGGGCTGAGCGCCGCGCCGCGCCACCCCACCCCACCCCACCCCACCCCCACCCCACCAGCTTCTTTCTACTACAGCGCTCAAACTCTGCTCGGTGTTCTTAGGAGAGCAGGCGGGACGTTGCCGCTACCGAGAGAGCCAAACCCATCAGTTTACGCTTTTGAAGCCTCAGCTGGATAGCCTGGCAGCCACGTCGCCAAGTCTCAGCTCCCCGGCGATTGTTCCCGAGGGTCTGCGGTCCGTGCGAGCCTCACACACCTCCCACTACTATCCAACGCGCTAGGATTCTCTCGGCTGCCGCTGAGCTGTCTACTCCCAAGATCAGGCGAACGCAAGGCCAACCCTGTACCTCTCAGCCAATAGGAAGCTCTGTGATGGGGTCCTTGTCCCATGCCACGCCCCCAGAACGGGAAGGGGGGGCGGAATTTCTGGAGTTCTTAAGGACGCAGCGCTACTTTTGCTATTATAGTTCTGTCCTGCATAGCCCAGACCCTAGAGATCTCGCCCCAGAAGAAGCTGACAACACCATGACCCATTGACCTGTGTCAAACAGGTCCTATCCCAAGCACCCCGGGAAAGGACTGCCATTATCTTTTACACACAACACCCCCCTACGCCCTCAGAAAGTACTTCCATTCTCTTTACACACAGAGACGCACGCACGCACGCACGCACGCGCACACGCACACGCACAGGGGAAAGTACTTCCATTATCTTTTCACACGCATGCAGTCTTAAGTTCCGGCCTGTACCCGCTTCCATGGCAAGGATTGAGTGCATGCTTCCCGGTTTAGTCTCTTGTAGGACTCTGGTAGGCTTTCACCTTTTCACCCTGGCAATGCAGTGCCTGAAAGCTCTTGGATGGGAGTCCTAAGAGTAGTAGCTACGGTGGGTGGTGGAGACTTAAAGGGGTCAAGAACAATATTAAGAGAGGAAGGTCTTCAGGATCTCCGTTTTGGGTAGAGTCCTGAGATATCCCCTGGAAACTAGATTTAAAATCTTGTCCTGTCGGAGGTATGAGCAAGGCCCTGGGATAGGTAAGCAGGAATGAAAAGACATCTTGATTAAAAAAAAAAAAAGGTACCCGTATGGTAAAACGCCTTTTGAAAATGCAAAAACGGGAGCCCTACCCTAAGACTGGACACCAGCGCCTCCTGTCTCGCCATCTGGGTCTTTGTCTCCCAGCTCTAGCCCATTCTCCCGCCCCTCCTTGCTTACCCTCTTCTATCTTGGCTCCATCCCACAGCTCAGACTCTTGCCAGTCCGACGTGCTCCCCTTAGAGGGAACGTGCCGATGTACCGACGTGCTTCTATCGCCCTCTATTGGTCCTTTCTAGCACTGCAGGTGCCTGGGCCGAGCTGGAAGCTCCCAGCTGAACAAGCTTGGCACAGCCGCTTGAACACAAGACCTAAAACAGGCGTGTCCTGGACAAGAACTGGGGCTTGTCAGAAGGAAAAAAGAGAAAAAGCGACGTGGAGGATCTGGGTTTAGGGTTTAGGGTTGTATTCCACGGGTATACAGTTCTTATGTAGCACATTCCTGGAGATGTTCTACCATTTAAAGTTTCATGTCCATTAGCTCACTTTAAGTAGGAGACTGAGCTACTGAACTCCTCACTGTGGCTGGAGACTGGATCTTTGGGGGGGGGGGAGTAGAGTGGGGGCAGGAATCAAAGGGAAATAGCTGAGTTCTTCTGCCTTCAGGTACAGGGCCTAAAGGTTGAGACAGATCTGGGTAAATAGGAAAGAGGGAGAGCTGAGTCTCTCAGCTCCCAGCTGAACCCCACATTTGGTTGCAAGCAAATAGATGAGAGCAAGGTGCAAGGGCACATCCATAGTCTAGCTGTGAGACTAGGCTTTCTAAAGTCCATCCTTAAGATGGAAAGGAACCTGTAATATTTTATCTATCATAGCCCTGTGAGACAAGTTCCAGTATTCTAATATTACATAAGAGGGGCTCATCTGAGGTCACCAAACCTGTCTTTAGAGGTCATGCCCATTCCCTTACACCACTCTGTCTCGCCACATTGCCTCCCCCTCGTTTTCAGTTAAAAGCTGCTATATGCCCAAATAGTAATAACCTTTAGGATAGCTAATACTCTTAGAAGAAGTTACTCAAAAACTCATACCATGGGGTCAATTCTGATTCATAGTGACTCTATAGAACAGAGGAGAACTTCCCCCATGGGTTTCCAATGCTGAAAATCTTTAGGGGAGCAAAAAACCTCATCTTTCTTCTGCATAGAAGCTGATGGTTTCAAACTGCAGACTTTATAAATAGTAGCCCAACCACAAGAGCTCATTAAGAGGTTACTAGGCCTGGTAAAAATCCTTCTTGTTTCTGGTCAAGTTCTAAAGTCCTGCTCAGCTAAGACCACCACCTTCAACCCCAAAACCAGTTTTGGATTCTTTTCCCCCAAGAGTAAAATACCCAATGGCCCTGAGAGGAAAACACAAGATCAGATAGTAGATGGGATAGATAAACTACACTGGCAGATGAGGAAAATCTGGAAGGACAGAAGCATTTTCTGAGTACGTCAACACCTAATCTTGAGTGAACTGGCAGCAAAAGAAAGGATCAGATGCCAAATCTAGTCCACCTTCTGGACATTCCTGGTCACCTCTCCTGCCCTATCCTGCCCACCTCAGTTATTACTACTACAGTCAGTGACTCCAGGCTATAGTCTCTTGCTCCACTAGAAATCAGGCCATTACTCCAACCCTACTCAAGCCTCCTAGATAACTGGATCCTCAGTCACACACACACACACACACACACACACACACACACACACCAAGTCTACTAGCATTTCCTGTTCTGGACTCTGATTGGTACCACCCATGGTGACTCAGGGAGGAACCTCATCCAGCTCTGTCCTTAAGGAGCTCCCAGTTTGGAAGGGACAGGAAGATAGGCACAAAGTTCATAAAAATCCAAAGTCAACCAAAATCAGTATGTGGGAGCCTACTAGGCCCAGAGATGTAGTAGAAGCCACTACAGGAGGCTTAAGGCAACGTGCAATCCCCAGAGAGCTACAGCTCCATCTGAATTTAGTTTCTCAAACCCAGGAAATGCAGGGAGATTTAAACATTTCACTGCTTATCAGCTGTATCGCCTTGGACAAGTCACTTAACTTCTCTGTGCCTCAATGAACTGTAACCTGAAGAAAATCATTCTTTCACAGAGTTGTGGTGAAGGGTAAATGAGATAATGCCTATAAAACACTTAGCATCATCATTGGTGCTTACTAAAGGAAAACTGATCCTTCCACAGAGATACCTGAAATTTAATCCTGTGTGTTCTCAACTGTTCACATCTTCTTCGTGTGCTTTACACACACTTTAACTCCTTCTTAGATACTCTCACACTCATATTCACACACACACACACACACACACACTCACTCACTCACACAGAAACTCTCATTTATTCCAACTATTCAGGACCAAGTGGCAGGTTGGATTACTTTCTTATAGTTGAACACGTCAACTTTTTCCATATCTGCTATCAAACACACAAGTGCACAAATACACACATACCCTTTTCTGTTTCTGAAGGCCTAATCCTTGCCCTCTCCTTGACTGCCTTCTACTCTGAGTCACAGAGAAGGTGAAGTAATTCACCCAAGGCCACACAGTTAGAAATGGAAGTCAGAATTCATACCTCAGTCTTCTGGCTCTATGCCTTGAACTTCTCATCTTGACTTCATGCTGATATCCCAGGGCTCTGGAAAAGAGTGTATGCCAAAATGCAGGCCTTGGTGAGCCACCAGAGCAAGCTAGTGTAAACACTAGCAAAGGTAAAATGAAGTAGCTGGGAACAGGAATCTTATCCCAAGGCCCAGAGTAATGTCAACTAGGACAACTCAGTAAGATGAATATACCTCTCCCCTATCTCTAATTCATTATGGCTTGCCCTATCATCTCTCCTTTCTGTTCTCTAGAATATCTGAAATGTCTGCCTTCACCCCTCTCACAGATACACACATCCATTTCCTACAGGGTAAGGGAGAGCTATAATTTCTTAAACACCTGCTGTATGGCAGGCACTAAATATAGATAGGTGCTTTTACTTCTGGTGCAATATTATCTTGGTTTAAGCCACATATCATCCCTGAAGTTGATATTGATAAGCCTATTTTAGAGAAGAGAAAACCAAGACTCCAAGGTCAACCTGGCTATATGCCCTGCCTCTGCCAACTTTAATCTGCATACCCTGTCTCTTGCCCCTTTGGACTATTTCTGCTATCCCTTTTCTGCTGTTTTTCTTCTGCTCCTACTGCTTCTAAGCTGAGACCAGCCGGTGTCTGTGTTGGGCCTCTTGCCCCCAGGGACACTTTCAAGCTACTCTATCTCTGGATCAGTCTTAGAGAAAACTCTGGATGAGACTTAAACACTCACACTGCCCCCACCACCACCACACACACAACATACATACGACATCCTGGCTGCACCACACCTTAGGGGTGGGTCAGATCAACCCCCAGGGGGGTAAGCCCTTGAAGTTTTACAATTCCCAGTGGTTGAGAAAGGAGGAGTCAACCAAGTTCTCCAACCCCAGCTCCTCCCTGGTCTCTGCTCTAATAGCATGCCTTGCTTATGAGTATTTGCATTGAGATTGTCTTAATATGCCAGCTAACATACCAACCCTTGTTTAGGCTATTGGCAGATAATACCCTGAAATAGACCTGGTTTGACTCTCCCTTTCTCTGCCCATTTCCCATTGCCACCTCATGATACTTTCCTTTCTCTGCCCATTGTGACCTCATGATACTTTACTCCTCCTTTGGACTCCTAAAATATTTTCCTAGCCTTTAGGCCTTATGTAGGAAAATGTACTGCTTTATAGCCCCCCAAGGAGCCTGAAATACAGCATGTGAGAACCATGGCATGACTTGGTTCACCATAGAAGGTGACACAAGTACTGCAACTAGTACTCTGTATTCCTCA